CATGTCATAAATATTTTCCCCATTCTGTTATCTGCCTTTAAATTATGTTTATGGTGAATTTTTCCTGCTTTCTGTAAACACAGGAATTTTAAGTTTATTTATTTTTATTTTTATTTTTCCCAAAAAGCATTCTTAAGAAAGGAATTTTAAGTTTGAAGTAGATGGGGTACTCTTTATTGTTCCCTTTGGCTTCTTTTTCACTTAATACGGTATTACAAACACTTTTTCATATCGCTATAGTCTTTACACTTATCAGTTCACAGGTTATATAATATTCTATCAATTGGCAATATCATAATTTCCTTTAATTTTTTTCTACCATTGAGCATTTATTATCATGAAAAGCTTCCCAAAATATTTTTTCAAAGGAATTATAAATCAAGTGGCTCAGTAACATCAGATTCCTCATCTGCAGTCCTACTTACTTAAGCCGTAAAAGAAACTAAACCCTCTGGGTGGCCACAGAGCTCATATCATACTTTGTGAATGGGAAAAAGCACCTGAAAGTAGGATGATAGGAATATCAACATGACAACATGAGAACCACCCTTTGGATTATTCTAAAATTGAAAATCTTTAATCAATTCTGACTTTAAAAATATGTTTTTATCAGTAAAACTATCCCTTATTAGTCTCAGGCCAAACAACCTATATCCTTCAGTCTAAAAAAGTGACTTGCATTTTTTAAAAAAGTCAGTGGGATAATGTGGAAAAGCAATCGGATACCTTGCTCCAATGGATACGGTAATGACATTGTCCAGGTTGAGTTTGCACCACTGTTCGACATCATACGCAAAAGTTGCACTGAACATAGCTCTTCTGACCTTGGGAGATGTGCAGGCTAGGAAAATGGAAGCCAGCTGGTCTCTGAACCCAGTTTTGCCATCTTCAAACAGTTTGTCTGATTCATCTACTACCAGCCACTCAACACTAAGAAATAACAAAATAATTTGTGGATATTGAACCAAAAGATCCAAGACACTTTATTAAACTATGGGAACACATAAGGAAGTCAAACTATGATGCTGCTTCTCAAATATACTTTATCATACCAGAAAAAATATATAAGAAAAATAAACAGGAAAACAGTAAAAACAAGATAAACATAGCTCAATGTACCTATTAGCTTCAAAGGTATCAGGTTCCATTAGCAACAAAAGAGCTTTGCATAAACTTCGTGAACTCTATCACCATTGTTGAAAATACAAAAAGGTCTAGGGGAATTCTGTACTAACTGCTTATCAGAATGTGTAACTTTCTTCCAGACCAGATAGTTAGTTTTTCTA